TATTCAAGCAATATCACCAGTAATGGGCTTCCCACATTGTACCAATTTGGGGAATTGAAGCCGAGTCTTCAGCTTGACGTGCATTAACCACTAGGCTACCCTACCGCCCCCTGTGTGGTGGTGGAATTGGGTTTAACGTCGTACTTGAGAATATTTTGCTCATATGACGACGTGCATGCGTGTGTATGTGTATGTGCGGCTGCTTGTACTAGCCCAGACTTAAGCTGGTTTTATAGTGCTAGCCCACTGAGATACCATTCCGCAGTGAAGCATGAATACCCCACTCAGACACATTATACTGACTCCGAGCCGACCAGTCCTTGTTGTACCGATTAATGCCGAACGCCAGGCAGGGACCAACAAGTACCATATTTTAACGTCTTTTTGTATGACGCGGTCGCGGATCGAACCCGCGACCTTCCGCAACTCCGGGCGGACGCTCTAACCACTACACCACAGAGGCGGTCACCGCCCCCTGTGTAATGTGGGAGGAAATCCTGAAGTAACGTAGGTCTCCGATGTTTACCTGTCTGTTGAAACCTCACAACCATTGCTATAATGCTCACAGATCTGGAAACATAATCCAGGCAAATTAACTGGCATTTCAACCTACATTCATGTTTTTTCTGGAATGTTCAAAGAACGCCTCACTGTGAATTGCTTAGATAACTTGCCACCTGTGTCTCCGCGATGACAGTAAAGATGCTTGTGCATCCTTCGCCCTCAACAAGGAAGTTTAGATATCCCTCAGCCCACTCAATCTCATTGTCAGCTTTTAATTAGCGGATATATACGTCTGGTGAAGCTATGCTGGATCGCCTTGTAATACAACAACACCTGCGTCCATCTTGAGGACATGTGGTCAGTCTGGGGCTAATCTTCTGGTCAATAGACCATAGCTTGGAGGGGTGGAACAGACTAAAATGATGCAGTCGTCTTAGTGAAAATGCTCTGAGGAAGTGCTTTAAGGATTGTCGTAAAATTAATTGAGGTTTATGGTGTTAGGAAAGGAAACGAGGCTGTATCGAAAGGCTTTGGGATAAGTTTTAGACACTTACAGGATAGACTGAGACATAGGATATTGTTAGTGGAGAACAGGAATATGTCAGAGAGTGTCTGGCGCTGTCGTGAAGTCTTTTCATAGTCATTTTTTTGTCTATGTGAATTGTTTTCATGGATCAGTTTTTATCTGGAGAATATTTCCATGATACATTTTTAGTGACAGTACTTGGAGTGAGTGAGTTGAGTTTTACAATGTTTTTAGCAATATTCCTGAAATATGGCAAGGGCAGCAGATATGGGCTTCACACGTTGTACCCATGTGGGGAATCGAACCTGGGTCTTCGGTGTGATAAGTGAATGCTTTAATCACAAGGCTACCCCACTGCCCTGTTCTGCATTAAAGTGAGTGAGTGAGTGAGTGAGTTTAGTTTTAAGCTGCTTTTAGCAATATTCCAGCAATATCACAGCAGGGGAAACCCAAAATGGGCTTCACACATTGTACCCATGTGAGGACTCGAACCCAGGTCTCGGTGTGACAAGTGAACACTTTAACCATTAGGCTAACCCACCGTCCCCCATAGAAGTAGCTTCATATGCAACTAATCATTGTTATATTAGAGCCTTGTTATTTAAGCAGGTTTTGTAACATGTAATATCAGCAGAGTGGAGGACAAACAAGAATACATGCTAATTTGTAATGGATATGGTAACCTTAGAAAACCACATATTCTGGAAAGATTACATGTCCATCCCATGCTATCTAGGTTTAATATTCCACTATGATCCGAGAAATCATTAATTAGAAATATGGCCATGTTTACGCATCATGAGTTGGCTACGCTATCTAACAAAGACCGTCAGTGATTGTACCATGGGCCGTTGACCCACATAGTATGAGGTCCCGTGTTGTCGGTTCCAAGCATTGAATATTTATGTTAGGGTGGGTATTGCAGGGAATTTTCATATTGCGATATATTGCGATGCGAAAGCATGTATTGCGTTAAAAAAAAATACTTATAATCGAGTTACTGCTTGATTTATAGAGCAAAAACACAACCAAATTACCATGCTTGATTAAGCTTTAATAACAACTTTTAATCATGATAAAATAAAAATGTGAATAATATTTGGCACAAATGAAAAAAGGAAATGCCCGAAGATTTCCGAGTGTTACGAAGTTTTCCGATTGCAAGTCAAAATACCGGTTTTCGATCAGTGTATCGCAATACGTATCGTTCTCATGTCTGAACCGGTAAATACCGGTAAAACGGTTATTTTGCGCAGCCCTAATTTATGTCCTTCCATAATGGATACATGTTATTTCTAATTGATATCATATTCTGTACACAGTACTTGTGTAAAAGTGACTGTTCTGAAAGTCTTTTTGGGGCAGTGGGTTAGTCTAGTGGTTAAAGCGTTTGGTGGTCACGTTGAAGACCTGGGTTCGATTCCCCACATGGGTATAACGTGTGAAGCCTATTTCTGGTGTCCCCCGCCGTTATATTGCTGGAATATTGCTAAAAGCTGCGTAAAACCATACTCACTCACTCACTCACTCTGATTGTGTTGAAAACAATTGTCTGAATCAACACTTTGTGGACTATACAGTATGGGGGTAAAGAGCATGGGTGTAACATCACGGAACCACACAAATGCAGTAGTAGTTTCCCCCTCAATAGTCACCTCTAATGGGACCTGACAATATGGGGCAACATATGGAACCAGACCATATGGGACCAGACAACATGGGAACACTGTGTGACTTCATACTTTGGGACCACTGAGTGTGGGATCACACAAGATGGAAGTACACAATATAGAGTTAAACAGCGTGAGACATCACACATTTCATGAATAAAGGATATGATATACTCAATTCCAAAAGAAACGAAAATCACCTAAAACTGATACAGTGCTGAATAAAGAAATTGATGTTTGCTTAAAAAGAAATGCAAAGAAAACAATGTGAGTCCTTAAGTGAACACTCATAATATTGTGATAATGTTTAAGAGTCAAGGAAAATGGCATTTATCGAGTATGGCCTCTAATAGCAGCCACTTCAGTATTATCAGAGTGAGTAAGTGAGTTTAGCTTTACGCCGCACTCAGCAATATTCCAGCTATATGGCGGTGGTCTGTAAATAATCGAATCTGGACAAGACAATCCAGTGATCAACAGCATGAGCATCGATCTGTGCAATTGGGAACCGATGACATGTGTCAACCAAGTCAGTGAGCCTGACCACCCGATCCCGTTAGTCGCCTCGTACGACAAGCATGGGTTACTGAAGACTCATTCTAACCCGGAACTTCATGGGTTAGTATTATCAGAACACAACAGATGAGAATGACTATCTGAGCATCAAACACACACTACTCCACCTTCACTTTAGGTCTTATTGCTTGTAATTTCAAACATTTGTAATATTTGCGTTTCTTTTAGAACTCAGTATATAATCAAATATTGTTTCTCACACAATATTGTTTGCTATCTCCTTGTGTTATGAATCAGGTCAGCTATCAGTTCCTTCACCTGTCTCTGTAGTTGTGGAACTTGTTAGTATAGGCTGCTTTGGGAGGTATTATATTCAGATCTTGATTAACATGAGATCTGTTTGGTCCATGGATGGCTAAGGCAAAGATATTACTTTCTTCTGCTAATGCAGCTACAATCTGCCAGATTTGATGCCAGTGTGGCTTTCAGTTTCTGTGACAAGCTGCTGAAGGATTAGAATAATTCAGCCAGTTATTTGTGGTGGAATGTGCAAAAACAGATTTGTATATTTTTTTCAGTCAAGTTAAGATGCGCTTTGGGACTTTTGTAATTAAGTTGTTTTTTGTGGTCTTTAATTTTGCCGCTGCTTTTCACTGATTAATGAAAATTGATTTCTTGTTTTTGTAAATCTTTATTAGCATAAGATTTCCTGTATACCATTCAATTTTGCAAAAGATGGATGAAGAAGAAAGAATTTCGAGTAAGATGCATTGATTTCATGAAAGGATCGTTATCAAGATTCTTGCTGAAAAGCCCCTGACTCTGATTAAAGGACATCAGATTGTAGTTTGGGATTTCAGTGACATAAATTGGTGGCCCATAATTGTGCCAGAATCCTGTCTGAGTTTAAATCCCAGAATCACTTTTGTAATTATTCTTGTTTTATCAGCACTGTACCATGTGAGCTGGTTTCACCCAAACTGTTAAAGTCCAAGGCCTGATTTGCTTTGTTCTTCCTTCCAATCTTAAGCTGATATGTACACTGCGATTGGACTGGTTTACTGTCAACATAGATGTCAAGCATGACTTCACTCACTCACTCAACTACCCAACCACACACTGGCTTGTTTATTCAGTCAATCACCAAGATCTATGTCTGAGACAAACAAAAAACTTCCAACATATCCAGCTAGTTGTTGTTGGTTCAAATTGTGTTGACTTGGTTGACACATGACATTGTATCCAGCTATCTAGTCAAGACCGCAGACCAATGCAATATAGCTGAAATATTGCTGAGCGACAAACAAAATGAAATCAAACTGTGTTGTTTTAGTGGTATATAAAGAGAAAGTGAATGGAAAACTAAAAAACAACTACATTTATATACATCCTAAAAAACTGATGTACATTAATTTTTTGTAACTGCTAGAAACAAATGGCATTAGGATAATATAGACACGTTAATGACTTATCAGTTTTGTAAAAATAAATATGGACCTTTATGACAACATTCAAGAAGACATTTAGAATTTAGAAACCGTTAGTTCCCTTGAACAATGATATAATCACAGACACAAACTTAATGGAAGCATACTTAAAATGTTTGCATATGAAACAGGTAACCGAACCATTTAATGTCTCTAGAATAGATTGTCTGTAGTGAGTGATTTCAAATTTTAAACAAGCTGTATTTGCTTTTGAGAAGGATGTGTTTTGTATGTACCATCATGTTTATTATACTCATTGTTCATCAGATCCACTATTCAGTTTCTTATTTCACTCAGTGTTTTTCAGATTTTGAAGATATCTTTGATGATGACTGTGATGACGTCCACCCACCTAAAATAGCATTGTCCAGCCCTGACAAGTGATCAGCTCTACAAGATAAGACAGTTCCCGGGAATAAGCTTGAGTGGACACTTGACGAAGAACTCGGCACGTGAAGAGATGCAAGATGGCTGCTGAGAGATGTTTACATGGAGAGATAGTCGGGACCTTCCTGTGTTTGTTGAGACGGAATGTTTGTTGTGGAAGAGTAACCTGATTGGGTTAAGTAGAAACGGATCCTTGTCAATGTGAGTGAGAAAGTATTCTGTTTGTACTGGAAAGGTGACTGACTGGGATATTTGTAGAAGGTCGGTTAGGGTGAAGAAAGTGGTTTAGGTGATATGGTGGAGATCATATTTTGCTGAATGAAAGGAACAGAAGAATCGGCTGATGTTTGTTCAAGATGCGTCATGTGTTGTTGGATACAGAAGAGTGAGTCACTTGATGTTGGATACAGACAAGTCACGTGATGTTAGTGACTGATAAGTCACGTGAGGTTGCTTGCAGATGAGTCACGTGATGTTGGATACGGATGAGACACATCATGTTGGATACAGATGGATCACCTGATGTTGGATACGGATGAAACGTGTGATGTTGGTGACAGATGAGTCACGTGATGTTGTTTGCAGATGAGTCGCATGTTGTACAGATGAAACGTGTGATGTTGGTGACAGATGAGTCACGTGATGTTGTTTGCAGATGAGTCACATGATGTTGGATACAGATGAGACACTTCATGTTGGATACAGATGAGACACTTCATGTTGGACACAGATGGGTCACTTGGTGTTTGCAGATGAGTCACATGATGTTGGATACAGATGAGACACTTCATGTTGGATACAGATGAGACACTTCATGTTGGACACAGATGAGACATGTCATGTTGGATACAGATGGGTCACGTGATGTTGGATACAGATGAGTCACATGGTGTTTGTTGCTTACAGATGAGTCACATGATGTTGGATAAAAAAATCAGGATGGATTTTCTACGATGTTATTGTGACAGAGCCACGTGAATAGCAGTGCTTCACATGGTTGAGATACGGAGATACACCATTCTTTATCAAATATAACATCTAGGTGCATAGGGAGTGACATTACAGAAAAACCTAGAACAGAATGTCGAAGTCACCAAAGTGCTTCAGTAACTGAAGAACTACTGGATGAAGCACAATGCAGAACTCGACCTTCTGAACTTACAATACTGTTAAATGAGAAACATGTTTAACTGGTGGGATATCTGGAGATTAGAACCAGATTGTAGATGAAATGGGCTGAAGATGTATGAAACACAATGGCAAGCTTTAGTCTTTTACTTGGATGTATGGGATGAATGAAACATTCAAGACAACCCATATTGTTGTCTTCCTATATTGTGATATATACAGTATACTCTGCAATGGATGTTTACAGACCTATTTGACTGCTTTTGGATTAGCTTTGAGCATGTTGAGATTGAGACAGAAAATGACAGGCTTACGATTGCACTGACAAATATACATTGTATGTCAACAATTGAGATGGGAAGATTTAAGTAGTGATCACTCTTTGGGATAATTTGATAAGTATGTACTCTCTCTCTCCACAAATGACAGATTTATGACTGCACTGACAAAAATATATTATGTGTCCACAAATTAAAAGGGTAGTTTTAAGGAGGGTTCAGTCTTCTCGATAATTTAAATAAATGTTTACCCTTTATCACTAGAAATGATACAGACATGTGTTGTGGTGACATAATGTCCTTTCATTTGTATCTTTTGTTTGTCAAGTAAGGCCACACCAATTTTATTTCTTGTTTTATGGATTTTTTCCTCAGAAAACATAAAGGCAGGAGGGAAAAAATAAAAAATAAAATGAAAGTTAAAGTAGTATTCCTTCTAAATGTTAAGAGTATTTTACTTTTGACAATTTATGAAGTGTATAAGGGGCAAACAACAATTAAAAAAACATTTTCTTGTAAGTTTACATTTTTGGCCAATAAAAGCATTAGGATTTATTTTTTGAGCTGGGAAGATTTCTTTATATATTTTTTCTTATTCTTGAAAAAATACGACAGGCGGATCCTTAAAACAAGAAATAAAATTGGTCTGGCCTAAGTTTCAAATGCAAAAAAATCCAAAGGTATGATTAGTTTCATTTCTCTTTGGCAGCCATTATGGGATGATGATTGATTCTGCATTTCAGGAAATATGGAATCAAATGGTTGTATAATCCCATACTATCTGGCAAATGTCTGTGTAATTTATTACCCTTTAGAATCATTAGGTGCCTTGGGCGGTGGGGTGAGGGTGTGTGTATTCCGTTTCTCTTCTATTTCTGAAGTAGTAAGGGATGTGAAGTATCTCGCCATGATTGTTGTCACAACAAAACATTGTCCAATGATATTCAAAGGGACATAACCCTTGTAGGCTTAAAATTTATGTTTCGAGGGAATATTTATTTGAAATAGTACCACCATTTAGGTTATATATTTAGGGGCAATCTATTTGCGCGTCATGGATATAAAAAACATTCTCATAAAAATTGCTGCTATATAGCTGGATTATTGCTGAGTGCGGCGTAAAACTAAACTCACTCACTAAAAAGATCTTTTTGTGATAATGATAGCTGAAATCTCTGAACAAGTTTGATTTCAATGTCAAAAGGTCAAGCCACCTTCGACGCCAGATTCAAGCCACCTACGAAACTTTTGAGTACGATATTATTTATTAACCAATCATAAGTCTTCTAGTTTGTCTAAAAGGTAATAAAAATAGATACATATGATTTTGGTGTCTTGACAAATTTGAAGTTTGATTTGTTTATAGAAAGAAACATGATCATAAGTGTTTCTAGGGGCATTGAGGGTTCAGTTTGTTAAGGGGCGGTGGGGTAGCCTAGTGGTTAAAGCGTTGGCTCGTCACGCCGAAGACCCGGGTTCAAATCCCCACATGGGTACATTGTGTGAAGCCCATTTCTGGTGTCCCCTGCCGTGATGTTGCTGGAATATTGCTAAAAGCGGTGTAAAACCAAACTCACTCACTCACTCACTCACTCAGTGTGTTAATGGCAACACTGCTCATACACTAAAGAATAAGAGCTGGTGTGGCAAGATCTGGCCTGGGTTATTAGAAGGACAAATTTTGATGGTAGCCCTCTTTATATACTACAGACAAAAATCCCTGGTGTGGCAAGATATGTTCTTGATTTTGGTAAAGGACAAATTGTGATGGTAGCCCTCTTTTCATAGTACAGAGAAAAAATCCTAGAGTGGGAAGATAAGTTCTTGGATTTGGAAGACGGAAGTTTATGGTAGCCCACTTTTTACACAACAGAGAAAAATCCTGGAGTGACAAGATCTGTTCCTGGATTTGGAAAAGAACCAATTTTGATTATGGCCCTCCTTAAACACTACAGATAAGAGTTCCTGGTGTAGTGGGGCGGTGGGGTAGCCTAGTGATTTAAGTATTCACTTGTCAAGCTGAAGGCCTGGGTTCGATTCCCAACATGAGTACAATGTGTGAGGCCCATTTCTGGTGTCACCCGCCATGATATGGCTGGAATGTTGATAAAAGCGGCTTAATACCATACTCACTCACTTCTAGTGTGGCAAGATCTGTTTTTGGATTTGGAGGACAAATTATAATTGTAGCCCACCGTATACACTACAGACAAAGTTCATGGTGTGCCAAGATGTGTTCTTGGATTTGAAGGATAAATGTTTATGGTAGCCCTCTTTTCACAGTACAGACAAAAAATCCTAGCGTGGGAAGATAAGTTCTTGGATTTGGAAGACAAATGGTTATGTAGCCCTCTTTATACACTGGACACAAAAATTCCTGGTGTGGCAAAATGTACTCTTGGATTCGGAGGACAAATTTTGATGTAGCCCTCCATATACATAGTGGCAGGGAATAGTTCCTGGAGTGGCGAGATCTATTCTTGGATTTGGAGGACAAATGTTAATTGTAGCCCTCCTTATACACTACAGACAAAAATTTCTATTGTGGCAAGATCTATTCTTGGATTTGGAGGACACATTTAAATGTAGCCCTCCATATACACTACAGGGAATAGTTCCTGGAGTGGCAAGATCTATTACTGGATTTGGAGGACAAATTTTAATTGTAGCCCTCCTTATACACTACAAACAAAAGTTCCTGATGTGGCTCTTGGATTTGGATAAGGACAAATGCCGTACATGCATCAATCTGCTGTTTTCTCTGAAAGACTGCTGTGAAACCAAGGTTCTGTTGATATGGCGCTATGCCACAGACTCCACCCTCTGATATTGAAGGGCATAACCTTATTGCCTTATTCACACCATTTGTTGGAATCTTCCTATGTGTTTATTCACAATGTCTCCTGGAAGACCTTGATTACCATGTCACATCTATTCCAATTGGGAATGGTCGATCAACATATGTTTGATCAGCTGTTTGATGAGTCAATTATGAATCATACAACTTTAACTATAACAAAGTCTTGATTTTAGCATAGGACTACATAGGTGTAGATTCTTACACCATTAGCAAAATGTTTTACCAAAATGTCCCACTATGATGTAAACCACAGGGGCTTGTAACGCTAAAAACTGCCATCAAGGTATATACTGTCACTGACGGGGTCTTAGTACTATATAAAAGGCCTTTTATATAGTACTAAGACCCCGTCAGTGACAGTATATACCTTGATGGCAGTTTTTAGCGTTACAAGCCCCTGTGATGTAAACAAGAAATTGTTAGCCATAAATAAGAAGTTGTTAGCCATAAACAAGAAGTTGTTATCCATAAAGTTGTATGCTTCATTAATGCTGATCACCAATGGCTGTAAATTGTCTGTAGGTTTTGTTTTGTAATGCACTTCTTATTTTTCAGGCTCATCTGTTTTGGTTGGGATTTGAATCTGAAGTGTCCGATTTTAGCATTTGGTTTCAGTTTCATTTATTCAAATAGCCAGCTTCCATGTATAATATTTATGAAGGTACTCAACTTGGATGAGAATTTTATGTAATTTGACTGTTTTTAAAAAGCAGCCAGCAGTTTGTTGTATTCCTAAACAAAGTTCTTTCATTAGACTTTTTAATATTATTTGACCTTTTGTCAATGGAAGCAATTTGAATCTCTCAGTACTTCCCAGCTCTTTTGAGATGAAATAGAATGCTTTATGCAACTATTCACAGTTCTAAGTGAGCTGATGTTATGGCCTGGCTATCAATTGCCTGATCATATTTCTCATCCTAATGGGTAGCCTAGTGGGTAAAGTGTCCACTCGTCATGCTGAAGACCCGGGTTCGATTCCCCACATGGGTACAATGTGTGAAGCTCATTTCTGGTGTTCTCCACCATGGTATTGCTGGAATATTGCTAAAAGCAACGTAAAACCATACTGAATCAATCTCATCCTAGAATGCAGGTCCATCTATAGACAAGACCAATACATAGACCAAAAGAGCTGATATTTACTCGTATGCTGTATTTTGAGTTTTGACCCTCATTGAACTATTCAAATAGGTCATATTTAATTATGTATAAGATCTAAAAGTCAAAGGTTCAAAAAAGTATATGCAGATAAAATAACATGCCTTCAGGCTTCATATTATATTTATTTATATTAGGTCGTAACCATTAACAGTTAAAAACAATACATATAAATACAATAATATTCCTTCAGCTTCATATTATATTTAGGATTAGAAAATGTAATAAATCCTGTGGAGTTGTGATATTTTTTTAAACATCTGTGCCTAATTCATTTTGTGGTTTGTTAGGAAAATACTACTACTTTATTCCTTTATAGAAATATTTGTTATACTGAAATACTTGACATGAGCTGTGTTGTGTTCTGAATAACATGCATACGAGGGGCGATCAAAAAGTATGTAGAATCACCAAGAAAACCATATAAATGCAGTTATTTTTATGTTTTATTTTTCTACATATTATCTGTCAAGCTCAAGCAATTTGGTTTTTCTATGTTCCACGATCCTCATTTTGTTTGACCTTTTATCTTGGTACCCTCAAAAAACGCAAAATCTACAATAAATTCATAAAAAAATTCAGGAATATGCAAGAAATATTTTGTGTTTGAGATTAATAGAAGTCCCTTAGAATCACACTTAGATATTAAAATTCATAAAAAAGCAATTTGAAATTACGATCGCTTTTTAAAGTGACTCCCCCTTTCATGTTGACTGAAAGAGCTTGTTTTTGAGACACAACCCATCCCCTTTCAGATGACGTAATCATAAGGACATAACTTATTCTAATGTTTTCACTTATTCATACATGATGCCAAGGGTTCAAACTAAACACTGAATGGTCACACAAGTGTCAGCTCACAATATATTGTAAACAGTACCAGCTTGAATATCTGGACACAATGTTTTAGGAAGATTGAAATGGGGTGTCCTTAAAAAACAGCCCTCGACTAAATATAAATTAAGCAATCCAGATCTTGACTGTTGATTATGACGGGAAGTCATCCAATACTATACTGAACATATTTTATATGATATACCATGAGGGCATACCATTATCCAAGAGGTACCAAATGACAGATCGTTTGTCATTTTCTGCAGTTTTGTTTGAAATATTATACCCCAATGTGTTGTGATGACTAATATCTCGTTAACCACATTACTCACATATGTGAAATTTTGCATATGACTTTGCTAAAGATTCCTTCAAAATAAAATGGAAGCTTTTCAAACATCGGATATCGGGAATACAGCTGGTCTACGTACTGTTTGATCGACCCACGTATGTAGATACTGACTTCTTGGGTTGAAGCATTCGCTTGTCACACTGAAGACCTTGGTGTGATTTCTCACATGGGTACAATGTGTGAAGCGCATTTTCGGTGTCCCCTGCCATGATATTGCTGGAATATTGTTAAAAACAGTGTAAAACCCAACTGCCTTTACTCTAATGTCTCTGTGACAAATAGAAATATGGACAACCATTGTAACATGATTGTAAATATGCTGACATGCCCACAAACAACTGAGACACACATTGAACCCACCCATTCATACAATGTCCAGCTATGTTATAATACAGAAGGTGTATAGAAAGAAGACTACTGGAATACAATGTCCAGCTATGTTATAATACAGAAGGTGTATAGAAAGAAGACTACTGGAATACAATGTCCAGCTATGTTATAATACAGAAGGTGTATAGAAAGAAGACTACTGGAATACAATGACCAGCTATGTTATAATACAGAAGGTGTATAGAAAGAAGACTACTGGAATACAATGTCCAGCTTTTCATTTTAGGGATAGTGGAGGAGACTCCATGTTCACCCAAAAAATGAAACATAATTTTTGTAGTTGCATTAAGAATGACTGACAACAGTATTTAAAAGAAACGTTTCCTTTTTTTACTCAAATAATACGTAACGTGGTTAGCTCTGGAACGAGGAAATATTTTTTTCTCTGTTTCCAAAGCCTGATTATTCTTGCAAAGTATATACCAGGACCCAACTAACTCTTACATTTTCAGTATTTTATGAAGTGAAAAATACTAAATGCACCAAATTAAAAATAATAAATATTGCCTTGATTCATTTTCAAGTCATAATCACAGCATGTTGCAATTCCTAATATAACGTGTATAATACTACTCAAAGTTTGATAAGGATCATATTTTTCAGCACTTGTAAAACTTTCAACAAAGGTGAATGACAACCAACACAGAGTGATTGATGTTCAGAAATGTTTACTTCAAGAAATTGTGACAGAAAAATTTGGCAAACATGACATTTCATCGCGTACTCCTAAGGTAAAGGGAGAGTACCATAAAAAGCATGGTAATTTCATGATCACGAAATTGTTTAAACTCTGCACATTCCATTTCACACTGCACAAACAAGTGTCAATAGCGGGTATGGCCTCCGTTAGCTCCAATGACAGCTTGGCAACGTCGTCTCATGCTTC